AAAAGAGATTTTAGAAAATAGATTTTTAAAAAAAGTCTCAAAAAATTTTATTTTTTTTTCTTTTTGTTTTCTTGTAATTTATTTTAATATTTTTAAATATATATATATATTTTTTTAATTTATTCTTTTGTAACTTTCTATATTCCAGTGACTTGATAAAATATATAATATAATAATAATAACTTGCTAATAATGAAGTAATAAATAAAGAGTATATTTATATAAAGATCACTATAAAACAAAATATTATTTTCAAGATTAAAATTAAAGACTATTATTAGTTATAATAAATTTGTTAGATTTGATAGAAATATTTAACTATAATATATATTATTCTATTCAAGTAAAAATATATTTATGTTTTCAATAAATTAATAAGTTATAATTTAGACTGGCTATAAGTACTAAAAAAAAAAATAAGTAAAAATAAAATAAAATAAAGAGTTAAAAGTTTTATTTTTTTTTTTAAATTAGTTATACTAACTAGGTTTTTATTAATTCAAAATTAGAGTTATACAAATTGGTTTACAGGATGTTATAATTATAACTATTTTAGTCTATATTATTTTTTCTAACTCAATATATATAATTTTATCCTTCTAATAAGTATCATCTTGTTAATTACCCTGCTGTGCCTAGGTACCTAGTGTTTTAAAGAGTCATTGAAAATCCCTATTGTTTTAACTAAAACTATATTGTTGTTATATTCTTATATTTTGTTGATTTTTTAACCTGTAATATATTTGAATTTTATATAATATACTTGTTATATTTAGTTTTTCAGAAGCTAGATTATTTGACAATCTTAATTTCCATATAGTTTTAGGTAAATCTCTTGGTAATTGTTTATAAGTCCATTCGGTGACCTTTGTTTTTTAGATATTATTTTTAGTGGCTCTTTAAAAATAGTCTACAAGAGTTTTCCTTGATTAAATAAAGCCTTAAGACTCTTTTAAACATGTTTACTCCTACAGTTTCTATTATAACTATTGTATTTTATTATATTTTAAGTAATGGAGACCTATATCTCTGATTTATTTGGTAACTGGTGCAGATGTTTAAGGTTTTTCAATATATATTATAAGTATAATAATTTGAGAAGAGATATAATTTATATAGAATCAGTAGAATATTGAGATAATTAGTATTACTTCTAGTATTCTTTGATAATTTTACATATTTTAAGTTGTAAGGGCATTATGATTTCTTATTTTAGTACCAAAACCAACTAGAGTCTACATAACCTAATATTACATTACAATCAGATAATGATTTGTATATAAGTGTACATAAGGTTAATAAGTATGTATTTGTATAATGTAACCTATATTATAAGAACTATTTTTAAGTGAAATTGAACTGGTAACTTGCAGATAGTAACCTGAGAGCACATTTATTTCACTATTGATCTATAGATCAAGGATTTCATTTCAAATTGTATATTGATTCTTTTAAATATATATTAAAATCTTAATTTATTGTTTTAAATGAATATATTAATATTTAAAAGAATAATAGAAGACTATAAATATTTTGATTCAAGAAATAATGCTTTTGGTAATCTAAAACATTTCATTAGCTAGAATTTCTTATAAATTAATAATATTTCTTTTGAATATTTTTACTTAATATTTACTAAGAATCATGTATGATTAATAAAAAATTTATAAATTTTTTTTGTTAACAATTAAACTTTAATATATATATACATAAAAATTTTTAAAAAAAATTTATAAAAAAAAATTTTTTTTTTTTTGACACAATTAAACTTTAATTTATATACAGTATATACAGTATATATAATTTTTTAAAAATTGTTTAAAATTTAAAATAGTATTATAAATAAGTTTTATAATTTTTATAAAAATGATTATAAATTTAAAACTTGTTGAAGTTCATAATAAAACTTTTGTGAATCACTATGCTATGTAATTAATTTAATATTCGTCTCAATACATTGTTATAATATACTACTATTATTATTTTATAAAAAATGTTTTATAATATGTTAAATAAAGATTATTTTTAAAATCAAAGATTTTTTATTAATTTATTTTCTCGTATTTACGAACTTAACAAAATTTGAGTTTTTTTTTCATCATAATATTTTAAAATGGTCTTTCACATTATCTATCATCATAGTTGTTTTAAATACTGAGGCCAACGTAAAATTATTTTCCGTCATAGCGTAACTGTTTGAGGTGCTGTAAATTCTTCACACAATTAAACGGAGTACTTGTTACTTCGTTTTCACGTCTATGTTGCACATGCATCCTGTACGTACTTCTAATTACAGAGTCAATCTAAAAGAGGTCGTACATGGAATTAACCTTATTCTTTGTACCATATTACTTAATGCAATAGCCATCACTCGGAAGGAATACTTATACTTATTTAATTGTATATTTTATCTAATAAAAATGTAAAGTCACGAATCGTTTTCGGATTTCATGAAAGAATCGTCCGTTCAATAAATCTTTTTTTAGAAAATTGGCTCAAGTTTTATAAATAAGGGCATCTTTCATAATATGTGAATGGATAAAATAATTTTTCGAAATACGGTATATATATTATACAGTATATATTGCATATCCCTTAAATCATTCTTCGAACAATGATTTTATAAATTGCTCCAAGATACCAAAAAAGTTGAACTTTAAATATTTTTTCAGTAGATGAAAGCAAATTGTGAATGTAAAAAATTAAGTTTAGTTATAAGTATCTTAACTGTTATGATAAGAAGTTTTGTCGATTTTCTGATCACGAATTTCTTTATGTATTACAAGATAATGAATGGCTACCAATGGTTTTAGCGTTTGGACCTGCTTTAATCAGGTTAAAATCGACTTGGTTAATTATGTAATAAAAAAATTACCCCAGTGTGCGACATTTTAAAATTCTTGGGTAGAAAATGTTGGAGAACTAAACATATGGTGCTATCTGGAGGGATGGAGTATGGGATCCCGAGTTATTTAGTATCATGTTATTTCTTTTCTCTTCCTGGAACTTTATATCTAATAAATCATTTTCTCCATATATTGTAAATGCTAGTCACGAGTTTCTCGTACTCCTTTTTTACATTAGAATTTTGAAATGAACCTACACATATTAGTATATCCATGTTACTCAGGTTTCATAAGCTGTTATACTGCATCGATAATACTCGTACTGGAGATCGTTGAAAGGAACAATATTGGTGATATGACCGCTTTGGCCCTTGTGCTGGAGAAAATTGATTAAGATCATGATAACATAACCGTAACCGAAATTTCATTTGGATTGATCAAAAATAATTTACAAATACGTGCGTATACGTAGTTTGTACATTCTCTAGTTACTTATATCGTTAGACAAAAATTTCAAGTCACGTTATAGCAACTTATTGCGTGTTTTAAAAATGTATTTTAAAAAAAGTTGTGTAAACAGTACATAATAGCACGTGCTTGTTTTTATTACCTTTCTCCTTTTTTTCCAATATGTAATCTTTAAATCTGAAAGTATTCGTTTATGACATATTGAATAAAGGCGACGGAAAGATATTAATTGTTGTGGGCTCTCATCTGACCCTCAAATGACATAAAAGAGGCGGAATAATTTAACGAGTACGTAGTAAGTGCTTCATTCTTTCGACATTCAATGGACTAAAAGAACTAGTGCACCTAATGCTTTTATAAATTTTTGGCTTATTCTCTTACACGCTACTATCCTCACTTTACCCACCACGTCATACAATCGTTAACATTGTTTCTGTCGATCGTTTCTCGGATACATGATCTTGCCTGCTGCAATATACCTTTACGTATATTTATTTTTTTTATAATAAGTTGATATGCATTGTTATTCTAATTAATTTATCAATAAAATCACAGCAATTAATAATATACTGTTATAATTAATTTTTTAGAATTATCAGATTATACATGCATTTTAAGTAAAATAACAGGACAAGAATTGTTGAAAATTGAAGTATAAAGTAAGAAATTTAAATAGAATTGATAAATTAAGTGATAAATGGAATTTAAGGTTTAAAATAACTAAAATACATTATAATAGATTAAGCAATAAAATCTAAAAATGAATTTAAAAAGTGATTGAAATTGTTTAAATCTAGTATAATAAAAAATGACCATATGATTATTGTTGCCCTATACTGTATATGTAATTTATTATATAATTACAATGTAGAATTCAATATGATGTTCTAACATGCTAATATACAGTATAAATTATTTTGCATCAAAATATTTTGAAACTTTGTTTAAATAATATTGCGAGAAATCATTTGGTTGATCATAATTTTAAACTGGAAGTAATTTTATTAAAAGTTTTTATAATGAATCCATTGATTTTAAAACGAAAGTATAAACGTAACTTGAATTCCAATTGGATAGTAAGTTTTGTAACGAATTAACTTTACGATTTTTACAAAGTAAATGCGAAGAATTGAAGAATACATATAAACGCTTCTTTGCGATTTCTGTTACATTTATTCTTTAACTAAACGTAATTTCATAAACGCAATACGCGCTTACTGTACAATGCCTATAAATATTTTAACATGCTTATTTGAACGGTCTTATATAATGCGCATAACAAGCATTAGCCATCTTCATTTTCACAGGCTTGTTACACATACATTCTTCTGCTGTATCAAGAAATCAATTTGAAAAAAGTTTGTAATGTACAAGGAATTAGTCACTTTCTTTGTGCTTATGTTACTTGATGCCGTTTGAATGAAATATTTGCCAAACTTTATTCAATTAAGCCACAGAGTCGTAAAATCAAAGAATCATTTCCGGATGCCTTGAAAGGATCTTTAATTATATGAAGAATATGTAATATATAATAATGGGCTTATTTGTTTTATTTTTAGAAAATTGGTTGGATTTTTACAAATAAAATACTTTTAATGTAATGTAAAAAAATATGTATGAAAACTTTTTAAGAAATGAATGGTTATATAAATAAAAATATACGGTATATTAATATGGACGGAAAGACTACGTCGAATTTTCACTGCCTGAATTATCATTGTCGGCAGCTAGACGACAGAAATCACAAGTTCGAAGGTCAAATAGAATCGAATACACATTCATTAACATCAATAAACTAAACGTAGTTTTTCAAACACATAAACATTAGATGGTTTCTGCCTACCTTCGGATGTGAATCTATCCGAAAGATTTTCCCATCCTTCCCTGTCTTCCTTCTTGGCCTCATCCCATATCTTGTTGGCTATCCTCCGCAGAGAAAAAATTTCTTCAACAGTAAATTCATTTAATTTTTTCTGAAACAGCCTTTCGGCTTCTTTGAATACACATAGATCCAATATGGTTCTGCCATCGGTGGTCATTACTTCATTTTCAGAGTGTCCAGCAGCGGTTAAGAGGTCTTGTATTTTCGGATTTCGCATTCTTTCATAGTCCATATTAATCATAAAATAGTTGACAAAGGGGTCGCTATCATTACTATTCCCATTCATAACAGTAAATGATCGTGACGCTGGATGAAATAAGATGCAGCAGAATATTCTTTAACTATAGTTTATTTACGATGCGTTTTTTTTTTTTTTTTTTTTTTTTTTTTTTTTTTTTTTTTTTTTTTTTTTTTTTTTTTTTTTTTTTTTTTTTTT